CCCCCCCAACAACCGGGTTTGAAGTTTCGCAGAATTACTCATGATGACGTCAGGAAATTATCCAACTTTTTCTCAGCTGTTCTTGGAAGGGAGCGCCTGCAAGCTACCTTTGTCGTCGATGATTATTAAGCGTTTGAGGAACAGCAACCGTAACATCAGCAGCGAATTGGCTTGTTTACGACTCTTGAATTTGCAGAGCTGCACGGACAGTTGAGGTAAGTCTTTTAAGTCCCGTTTTTACATATTCGCATTTGATTCCTACTTCAGCGTTCCAGAAAATGCAATTGAAAAAAAAAAACAAACAAAACCCATATCAGACATAAGAGCTGTTGCATTTTCCTACTTGCAGTTAGCGGGCGAGTGAATGACTGCTAGTTAGCAGACGACTGTGTGTCCGGCTAAGGCCTGGCTGGGAAACAGTTGCGGAAACATTTTATTGTTGCGGGGGATAATGTTTATAGTTTAACCACGCGGGAAACATGTTGCGGAAACCAATTTTGGAAACAAGACAATGGTGTTTACCTCAGGTCAAAGACACTTGCTTCTCGAACACAAATTTTATCTTCCGAAACATAAGTTTCCTAGTTTAGCCACCAAGTTATACTGATCGTGACTATGCGATTGTTAATCAAATTCACGACTTAGCGTTGTCAGGATAAAACTGAAGTCCGCTAATGTTTGGCGAGCGTCGATGACTATGTTAACTCTATAGTATTACACGCTATATGTAGAATCGAAATTTGCGTTCTATTAACCGACGAAAATCCTCTAAAATATACTGTTGCTCACGAGGACAGAATAATATCAAAACATTAGTCATTAGATGAGGTAAATGGTTTAATATCTCAGATCCGAGGTGTTCAGCGGAGGTGAGAGAGATGCGTGTTTAAATTAAACTGATGGTCAAACAAAAACAGTTCTCTGAGCAAAAACGCACTGCAAAGTCGTTGTAAAAATGAAATAGGATTGCTTTCGAACATTTCATGGCTATATAGAAATTGCTGAAATTTAGTATGCCGAAAAATACATTTGTGGTTGCTATAATTCCCTTGCTCAGTTTTATATGTCAATGTAAAAAAAAAAAAAAACAGTCTAGACATAAACAAATATTAAAGGCACATCCTAAGCGAGTCTATATCAATTTTGAATTTAACTTTGCCGTTGTTTTGCCGTTAATGAAAATCTGAGGAGTTTGTCTGGCTTTCCTCAGTACGTAATTATTATGGCTGAGATTTGAAGGAAACTTCCACACGGTTGGCTTAAAATACATTTTCCCCTGTGAACACTGATCGGGAACAATATAGCCACCTTATTGAAATGTCACTCAAGTTTCTTGGAATCTTCAAGTGCAGCTTGTTATTCATCTCTACTTTTGATCGTCTTCATTATTAAGTCTCTGATAGTAGCTATAAGGCCTAAAACTGAAAGCTGTTAGGTTAGCTTTAGCTTATAATTTTATTTCTGTTGTTAGGAGAAAAGAGAAAAGCCGTGATCTTTGTTGTCGTATGCGAGCAGTGACAAAAGTGCGTGACAAACGTCCATAATACTATTTACTGTTTATGTTTTAGCAGTCGTCGTTCAGGTGGCAAGTTGCCAATATTCTTGAGCTTAAAACCTTAAGAGAACTACCAAGTACTTGTTATCAAACAGTAAGCTATAGATAAAAGACTGAGGACTTACGATCTCACAGAACCACCATTTTTGCGTACTTTTTGCGGAGTCTACTACTCAGGGGACCAGACCGTGTTGGGATTCCGCCATAGTTATTTAAAATAAGGTTTGAACATGGCAAGATAAGAATCCAAGACCACTTTATTTTACAAATTTTATGACATCTCCTTGCCAAAACATATCATGGTCGGAGAAAGTGGTTCATTGCATCGTTGTCAAGGAAGGAGAGCTAAAATTATGTAGAATAGAAAATGAGATATGAATGCACATCGCGGTAAGGATTCGTGGTTGCAGCACCATCACTGTTTCTAGTAAATCAAGTGGAGGTAGTGTCTGTTTCCATACAGTGAGCTGCGAAAGCGAGCAGATAAACAATCGATCCTGCA